ACTTGCGTGACCATATCAGAACAAATAAAATCGTCATAACTAATAGCAACCCATTCTCATCAAATATTATGTTTTTTTATAAAACACTGCTGTTATTACAATAGATTACGTTTATTAAATAATTAATGTACTGAATACAGCTGTTAGAATAGCAATATATTTTATAACTTCCTTTACTAAATAACAGCATTATCCGCTGCTTCTTATAAAATGTAATTCATTAATATTTGGTGGAAAAAAGCTAAATAGTATTATTGGATCAATATAAGTATGAGTATTTGAGAGTATAAGAGTATTTATAGCTTATTATGCTGGAATCTCTCCTAAAGATTATTCATAACTGCAAATTACAAATTTATCTCTAATTACAGTTCCAAAAAAGTCGTCATTAAAAATTTCTTGTATTATTTATGCAATTTTTTTAATAAAATTATAATGCGCATACATCGGGTAGTATTCAATTAACTGAAAATGTTAAAACCACACTTATTTACTTATTTAGTTGACCATTATAGACATATGTCATCCATGGCCACGCCGAGTAGCCTCCGACAGTCAACCCGATTAATGATTTGCTGTCACCAGTTGGTAGTATCAAACGCCACCAAATTGTTAGTCACCTGGTCCTTTCACCAAAGATACGGACGTCTTCTACCGCATTTTCCACCTGCGGTTACTATATCAAACACCTTTCTGGCCGAAACACTTTCTCCATTTGCACAATATGACCAATTTGATACTAGTTGCCAAAGCGTAATGGGTCATAGATCTTCCGCAGTACTTTTCTCTAGAATGCTGGCCTTCACATGACTGTTATTAATTGTCTAGGCATGATGAGACTTGTAGAGCGTAATTTATGTTTGTCGAAAGAGGGTTTTATTGCCTACTTAGCCCGAAGTTGCATCTGTTGACAAGAGTAATTCTTCGTTGAATCTATAAGCTGATGTCATTCTTGGTGTTTATGGTTCCTGAATAATGAAAGTCTTACACAACTTCGACCTTACAATAGTCACCAGTGACATGAGTTCCAAGGCCCTCAGGTGATTTACCACAAAAGCCGTTTAAAGCCAGACTTGTTAAAAGAAAATATATAAAATTTTGCAAAGCTTAATATCTTTGACCCTAAGTGATTTTATCATAAGCAACTAATCCAACCCATTCTTATTCGTCTGCATCTAATAGTCTGCAATATTTTGCTTACATGACCATTGTCTCACTCTACAATTCATTACCACCATTTCTCCGAAGTTTTTATCTGTTATGATAACTTAATTCAATTTCTCGCATCATATCATCTTTCGTCTACAACTACAATTTTTGAGACCCTGCTTATAAAGTATATTTCTAATAACCTCTATGTGATTCACTCAGTTATCTAATTTCTATATGACTCTTTCAATTATCAAGTTTCTCCCAATCACTTAACCTTCATTGAACACATTCTTAGCGTATTAACATAATGGTTCTCAGTTTATTTTCACTACTTGATACAACCACTCCAAATTCAATAGCGGTTCAACACTCGGTTTTAATTTAAAAGTTATAAGCAATGTAAAGTAACCACTTGGATGAAATATCGGTGCCGCATCACCAAAAATATTAGACCGCATTAAATAATTACCCCTGAGAAATGGGCAATTTAAGTCAGAACTATTGACGATCAACTGCTGATAAAATTTTGACATCATTTTGGAGACAACATGATTTTTGAGAAAAACGCAGCCATTCAAATTGTGCATCTGATAAGATCCTTTTGCTCCACCCTGAGAATTACAAACTACATCAATAAATATCTCCGGAATATCCTGAATTACATCGAAGCGATATAAATCGGAGTCATTCGATACACGTGAAACTTTGCTGACGTAATCCGTATCAAAATACAAAATTTTAAATTTGACGTACTTCAACGAAATTTTTGTTGTGTTTTTAGCCAAAATTTCCTTTTAAATTAAATATTTAATATTTAAAATATTAGAAATATGATATTAGGTATTGCTTTATATACCTGCTTTTTATATACGAGTATAACGAAGCTTAAAATTAGTAAACAAACACTCTTCGAATGCATTATGAAGAAATAACTTTAATGTTTCAAAGGCAATAAAAGAATATAAGCAATTTTTTATTTGAACTTTAAGAGTAGATTTGGTTTTGATGTATAAATTCATTTTTAATTGCTTTATAAAAATTTTACAATTCAGTGATTTTTGAATTTTTGCCAATAAAAGTCATAATTCAAATATATTATTATTTTTTAAAAATCAATAAAAATTCTTGTTAGTTAAATATGTGAAAAAATGTATCAGTTACCGGGCTTCAGAAACACATGTTTCATTTCCAAGTCAAAATTTGAACAACGTCATTAAATAGTCGTTAGCACTTTGATCCCAAACCACTTCAACCGCAGTTTTTATAACGTAACAATTTTACATATTTATTATTCCATTTGAAATAAAAATAAAATAAAAATATTTTCATATTCACACGAATTTATGAATTTAACACGACATCAATTCCCAGCTGATATTTAATAGTTTTTTGAGGAAATAAGCAGTTTGAATCACTAACAATATTTGGTAGCATCAAACCCAAAAAATATTGGTTGAATTATTGAACCGTAAACAACACGCAACTAATATCAAAATAAGTTTAAATAAAACCCTCCTTTCTACAATTTATTCATCCAGTAGTTTTAATCCCCACAAAGAAAAACATAATATAGTTTTTAATAATATGGATATATATAGTTATAACATAGCTCTCCAGTAGTGTTTGAGTCTACAGCTACAATTTTAAAAGTCGTCAAAATAATAGTCTGGATTAGACGTAAGTAACCATCTAGTTTCAGGTTAACTAGCTATCCAAATGGGAACAATCTTAAATGGTTGGTTGGTTGGTTGGTTGCAGTGGCAGGTCATAAGATAACTTCAAATGTACCTCAATTAGCGATTTTTCGCCGTTTTGTTACCACATTCCTCGCAAGAACCCTAGTATAGAAGAGTAGAGACTAAATCCATCCCACCGAATTTAGGTAATTTAACAGGTCTTTCATCCTTACCATTGAGCAGTCTGATAAACTATCACAAAAGTATTTTCCAAAGAACCTATATCTTCTGGATGCTAGAGCTGGGCATTCACAGAGAAAATGTATTATTGTTTCTTTCTCCCGCGGGTTTCCACAACTTCTGCAGTGAGAGTTATGGGGAATACGCAGTTTCTCTGCGTGAGTTCCTAACCACCAATGACCAGTAAGAACCGCGATAAGCCTTGCAGTGTTTACGCGATCTTTTTTGATGAGTTCCAGAGATTTATTTTTATTATAAGTGGGCCACGTTAACCTGGAAGTTGCACATGACCTTAGTGCTTTCCATCTGTTATTGGCGAGTTGCAGAAAGTAAAGAAAGGTACTTCTTTTGATGGTCTCCAGGGTAATATAGACTGATACCGCCAGTGACGCATCTAGGGAGGCACCAGAGCGGGCTAAACTATCAGCTTTCTCATTCCCTACGATGTTCCTATGCCCAGGAACCCAGATGAGTGTGATATCGGCCAACCGGTTTAGCTCGTCGATTGCTTCTCTACATTCTTTTACTATTTTTGATTTTGTTATAAAGGATTCAAGAGCTTTAATTGCTGCCTGGCTGTCAATAAAAATAGCAACACTACATCTGTTCTCGATGTGGCTTGCAATTTGCCGACAGGCTTCTTTTATTGCTAGGATTTCAGCCTGAAAAACCGTAGCTTCATTAGGTATCCTAAGAGAGATATTTATATTTTTAGATGGTGCGAAGATTCCTGCTCCTGCCCCACCGCTCATTTTCGAGCCATCTGTATATATTTTTTTAAATTTTTCCTTTTCCACTCATTTCTTGAAGGGAATATTGTCTGGAAGTTCCTTTCGAAGTCTATACACGGATTCAGATAATCCGATGTCATCCTATACAGACAATTTGGCACTGTACCTAGAATCCGACTATGTCCATATGTTCGTTCTAACCATACGCCTGTTACTTTCAGTCTTACAGCGCTATTACAAACCATGTTTTTAATGTGAAAATCAATAGGTAGCAAATGCAGCATCACATTTAGGGCGTCCGAAGGAGTCGTCCTAAAAGCTCCTGTGATGCCTACACATGCCGTCCTCTGAATTCTGTTAAGTTTGTCGATATTATAGCTCTTGTTTAGAGCCGGCCACCATACGACAGCACCATATGTGAGAATTGGTCGTACAATTGCCGTGTACATCCAGTGGGTAATTTCGGGACGAATCCCCCATTTTTTGCCAAACATCCTCTTGCAAGAATAGAAAGCTACACATGCCTTCTTGATACGAAGATCGACATTGTGTTTCCAGTTTAACTTACTATCCAACAGAATTCCTAGATATTTAGATATTTGGCTTTTTCCGATAGTTTTAACTGTTGCCCGTTTAGTGAAGGCAACCTGAAAGCTGGTATTTTGGTTTTAGTAGTAAACAGCATCATTTCAGTTTTTCCTGGGTTAATACCTAGTCCACAACCT